CCCGCACGCCGGCATCACACACAGACCATGGCCCCCGCACGCCGGCATCACACACAGACCATGGCCCCCGCACGCCGGCATCTCACACAGACTGTGGCCCCCCGCACGCCGACATCTCACACAGACTGTGGCCCCCCGCACGCCGGCATCTCACACAGACCGTGGCCCCCCGCACGCCGACATCTCACACAGACTGTGGCCCCCCGCACGCCGGCATCACACACAGACCATGGCCCCCCGCACGCCGACATCTCACACAGACTGTGGCCCCCCGCACGCCGACATCTCACACAGACCGTGGCCCCCCGCACGCCGACATCTCACACAGACCGTGGCCCCCGCACGCGGCATCACACACAGACCATGGCCCCCCGCACGCCGGCATCTCACACAGACCGTGGCCCCCGCACGCCGGCATCTCACACAGACCATGGCCCCCGCACGCCGGCATCTCACACAGACCGTGGCCCCCGCACGCCGGCATCTCACACAGACCATGGCCCCCGCACGCCGGCATCTCACACAGACTGTGGCCCCCCGCACGCCGACATCTCACACAGACTGTGGCCCCCCGCACGCCGGCATCTCACACAGACCGTGGCCCCCCGCACGCCGACATCTCACACAGACTGTGGCCCCCCGCACGCCGGCATCACACACAGACCATGGCCCCCCGCACGCCGACATCTCACACAGACTGTGGCCCCCCGCACGCCGACATCTCACACAGACCGTGGCCCCCCGCACGCCGACATCTCACACAGACCGTGGCCCCCGCACGCCGGCATCACACACAGACCGTGGCCCCCCGCACGCCGGCGTCTCACACAGACCGTGGCCCCCGCACGCCGGCATCTCACACAGACCGTGGCCCCCCGCACGCCGGCATCTCACACAGACCATGGCCCCCCGCACGCCGGCATCTCACACAGACCGTGGCCCCCGCACGCCGGCATCACACACAGACCATGGCCCCCCGCACGCCGGCATCTCACACAGACCGTGGCCCCCGCACGCCGGCATCTCACACAGACCATGGCCCCCCGCACGCCGGCATCACACACAGACTGTGGCCCCCCGCACGCCGACATCTCACACAGACCGTGGCCCCCGCACGCCGGGTTCTCACACAGACCGTGGCCCCCGCACGCCGGCATCTCACACAGACCGTGGCCCCCCGCACGCCGGCATCTCGCACAGACCATGGCCCCCCGCACGCCGGCATCTCACACAGACCATGGCCCCCCGCACGCCGGCATCTCACACAGACCGTGGCCCCCCGCACGCCGGCATCTCACACAGACCATGGCCCCCCGCACGCCGGCATCTCACACAGACCATGGCCCCCCGCACGCCGGCATCTCACACAGACTGTGGCCCCCGCACGCCGGCATCTCACACAGACCGTGGCCCCCCGCACGCTGGCATCTCGCACAGACCATGGCCCCCCGCACGCCGGCATCTCACACAGACCATGGCCCCCCGCACGCCGGCATCGCACACAGACCATGGCCCCCCGCACGCTGGCATCTCGCACAGACCGTGGCCCCCGCACGCCGGCATCTCACACAGACCGTGGCCCCCTCACGCCGGCATCTCACACAGACCGTGGCCCCCGCACGCCGGGTTCTCACACAGACCGTGGCCCCCGCACGCCGGGTTCTCACACAGACCGTGGCCGTCTCTGTAGCCTCCTGTTCCCTGACTCTCAGAGCGAGGGGTGGAGGCCGTCCCAGCCTACAGGGAGGGGCAAAAGTAGGTTTACAGTTCATACAGCAAATAATACAATAATTAATAACTAATGTAAGAATACATTGTACTCACAACGGTAACCCTATCTTTGCCCCACCTTGTATTTTTTTTATTGATTTTATTTAGAGAGAGGAAGGGGGTTTGGGGAGAGAGAGAAACATTGATGGGTTGTTCCACTTATTTCTGCATTCATTGGGTGGCTTTTGTATATGCCCTGACTGGGGGTGGAACCTGCAACCCTGGCTTGTCCAGCTGACGCTCTGACCACCGGAGCTCCCGGCCAGGGCACCACCCTGACTTCTTAACTGGATGTATTCTCTCTCCTGCTCGACGTCACCTAACTGCTGTCGCCTGTCTGCTTCTGCGAGTCCCTCCTCTGCCTAGTTCTCTGCTAATCCACCCTTCTCTGAAAAAGGATAGCATCAAACTTTAGGAGCTCAGAAACTGTTTTTTCATTCGTTGAAAATAAATGGGAATCGTTTCCATTAAAAAAATTTTTCACGTATACTGTAGTACATGCTCTCATGGTCGTGTTCAAATCTGAAAAGTGATTTGAAACCAAAGGAGAAAGAGGGTTAACAGTTGAATTGCAAGCCTGCTGTGTACCCGGCCGCTGAACGAGGTACCATTCAACGAGGTACCCCTCTAACAAATGGCAGGGCCCCGGCTGTCAGTTGCAGTGTCCCCGTTACACCACGCTGCCTCTCTCCAGCCCCCCAGACCTAGCCCCTAGCTCTCCAGCCCCCCAGACCTAGCCCCTAGCTCTCCAGCCCCCCAGACCTAGCCCCTAGCTCTCCAGCCCCCCAGACCTAGCCCCTAGCTCTCCAGCCCCCCAGACCTAGCCCCTAGCTCTCCAGCCCCCCAGACCTAGCCCCTAGCTCTCCAGCCCCCCAGACCTAGCCCCTAGCTCTCCAGCCCCCCAGACCTAGCCCCTAGCTCTCCAGCCCCCCAGACCTAGCCCCTAGCTCTCCAGCCCCCCAGACCTAGCCCCTAGCTCTCCAGCCCCCCAGACCTAGCCCCTAGCTCTCCAGCCCCCCAGACCTAGCCCCTAGCTCTCCAGACCCCAGACCTAGCCCCTAGCTCTCCAGACCCCCAGACCTAGCCCCTAGCTCTCCAGCCGCCCAGAGCTAATTACTGAATCCTTCCAGACCTTTTATTTTTCTTTAAAGGAATTTCTTACTTGCATGTGTACCTATACAAAGTCAGTATTTCTATGGTTTCAAGTAGATGCTGAGCGTGGAATCGCCAAATCATAGAATATACCCACTTGAATTTGTAGTCCACCTTAGAGTTTTGTGGGGTACTTCCCTCAAACCTTGGTGGTTTTTGTATTAGGATCATATTAATCATCAACTTGAATGAGCCAACCTAGACATGCTCGTGATGCTGTTTCGTTCTATTTCTTCAAGCAACTTTGTGCCCATTGATAACATTTTCTTTGTTACTATCATAAGTAGACTCTTTTTCTAACTAGATGTTTGCTTATATAAAGGCTGGATTAATTTTTAAAGATATATTAATTTTGTACGCAGCCACTATATTAAATTGTCTTACTGGTTTTGGTAGTTTTTCATTTGATTCTCTTGGGCTTTTAGGTTAAAAAACAACAACTGATTATTTTATCTATAAATAATGATAGTTTTCTCCTTTCCGATTTTCATACCTTTTATTACCTTCTCTTTTAAAATTCCACTGATTGAACATCCAGGGAAAATTGGTGGGGATCCCTGGTTCCCCACAATAGTGGGGATCCCTGGTTTGTTCTAGACTTTTGCGGGGATGGCGGTAGTTATTGTACAGTTTCAGAGCTGGTATAAGGTATTTTTCATGTTAAGAGAAACCATCTAGTCAGGTTTATCAAGAATCAAAATTAAGCCCTAGCCGGTTTGGCTCAGTGGATAGAGCATCGGCCCACGGACTGAAGGGTCCCAGGTTCGATTCCAATAAAGGGCATGTACCTCAGTTGCAGGCTTGATCCCCAGCCCTGGTCGGGGCCGTGTGGGAGGCAGCCAGTTGGTGTATCTCTCACATTGATGTTTCTCTCTCTCCTCTTCCTCTCTTCCACTCTCTAAAAATCAGCGGGAAAAATATCTTCAGGTGAGGATTAACAAAACAAAAGAATCAAAATTAAGGCCCTGGCTGGCTAGCTCAATTGGTTAGAACGCCATCCCGATACGCCAAGATTTCGGGTAAATGCATAAATAAGTGGAACAACAAATTGATCTCTCTTTCTCTCTCTCAGATCAGTAAATAAACATTTTTTTTTAATCAAAATTAAATGTTATGGAATTGTTTTTGAGAGCCACACCTGGCAGAGATGTAAGTGGATGTTTGACATGGATAGCTGGTTTTCCCGGCAGCACTTACTAAATAGTCTATTCTCTCCTCGCCTCTATAATATTCTAAGTTTTCATGTGTGTGTTGGTTTGTTTTTGATTTTTTCCCATTGATCTTTTAAAATTAGTTTTTGGATCCATTCCACCTGTTTTGAATAATTACCTAAGCTATATATGTTTCTGAAATTTCATTGTAGATGAAAAAGAGTCTCAAATGGACGTGCAAAGCTTGTGGAGAGAAGCAGTCATTTTTACGGGTGAGTCCCAAGAAGCAGGGCATCTCCCCAGGCCAGGGACAGGCGGGTCCTCGTTCAGTACAGATAGAGCCCCGCTCCCTGGGTTCCTGCTCCTTCAGGAGCTGGAATGAATGGAGCAGCGACTTGAATGGTACCTTCAGTTGTTACACATCGGCGAGTATTTATTGAATACCTTTGAGTGCCAGCCACAGGAAGGGCAGTGACAGGTGAGAATGTGGCCGTTCTTGCCCTCACAGATCTGCGCATGTGAAAGGAAAGAGAAACTACTAAACACGCAGGCACCCCCTGCACGTGCGTGTAATTTAAAACCAGACGGGGCACAATGAAAGGAGGTGGGGGGCCTGCACGAAGGTGACAGGCGTAGGCCCCCCTGGAGTGGGCAGACGGGTTGGTGGTTCCAGGGTGGGAGGATGGGAGCCGGTGGGCCCAAGAAGTGGAGGCCATCGAGATGCCAGGCTAGCGAGGGTGTGCACTGAAGTGACCACATTCTCAGTGCTTTTGCCTAGCCCACTTTTTCTTTTTCTTTTTTAAAATATATTTTTGTGGATTTCAGAGAGGAAGGGAGAGGAGAGCGAGATAGAAACATCAATGATGAGAAAGAATCATCGATCGGCTGCCTCCTGCACGCCCCCCACAGGGGATCAAGCCCACAACCCGGGCATGTGCCCTGACCAGGAATCAGACAGTGACCTCCTAGTTCATAGGTCGACGCTCAACCACTGAGCCATGCCAGCCGGGCTAGCCCACTTTTTTCAAGTCCATATCTACTGATCCACCCAGTCCCTGTGGCACCACTAACTGTCCTGCATTCGTTCTCACTAAGCCCCACTCGCCTACACCAGCCCCGGATGCCACTGCTCCAGCCTCATCTCATCACTCCTGCAGCCATGGGGACTTTTCTTTCTGACTTGGAAACAGTCCAGACCTGCTCCCCTTTGTGCTCTGTCTGGGGCTTCACCCAGCTGTTCTCATTATCCTGATCAGAAATCACGTCAGACGGTGTTATGTGAGCGTTGTCCGTCGCAGACCGTAAGCTCCGTGCGAGCAGAGGCTTTGTGCGTTGACTGGTGTACGCTCAGCTCCCGGCACAGGGCCTGGCCCATGGTGAGTGACTAAGTGACCAGTCTCCTCACATCAGTGGGCATTTCCGTTGCTGTTAGTTTTTATTGTTATGAACAACTCTGCAGTGAAGCTTCTCACACATACCGCGCTCTCCACGCGATCAGTTATTTCCTTAGGGCACATTCTAGAAGTTAAATTCTGTTTCAGAGGGTATCTTTCAACCAAGGTTTTTAGTTGGAGAAAAAGAGAAAGAGAAAGGAGAGAGGAAGAGAGAGAGAGAGAGAGAGGAAGAAAAGAAAGAAAGAAAGAAAGAAAGAAAGAAAGAAAAAGAAAGAAAGAAAGAAAGAGAAAGAAAGAAAGAAAGAAAGAAAAGAAGAAAGGAAGAAAGGGGAGGACGGGAAGGGAAGGAGGAGGGAGGGAGGGAGGGAGGGAGGAAGGAAGGAAGGAAGAGAGAGAGAGAGAGAGAGGGAGAGAGAAGAAAAGAAAAAAGGAAAAGAAGAAAAGAAAAGAAAGAAAAGAAAAGAGAGAAGGAAGGAAGGAAGGACACAAAACAAAACACTTGGAAGGCACTTCATCCTTGACCCTTTGAGGAACCGGTTCCAAGAATTGAAAAGCTGCTGACAACGCAGACATCATCTTTTCTCCCTTCTCCCTGCCTTCTCTCCTTCCCTCCCTCCCTCTCCCCAGACAGTTCACAGTACACCCTCCGCTCAAGCCCGCTGGAATAGCTGAGTCCCAATTATCAGCTCCTGGGAGAAGTGATCTGATTGGTGCTGTGGACTCCGATGTCCGCCTCTGGGCCAGTCAGCTGGGGAAGGGGGTGGGGGGGGTCTCAGAAGACGGGGCTGGCTTGGAGCTACAGAGACCCCCGCAGAGTGCCTGCTGCTTGCTTTTACTGAGGCTGGAGCAGTGGCATCCGGGGTGGTGTAGACGAGTGGGGCTTAGTGAGAATGAATGCAGGACAGTTAGTGGTGCCGGCTTGTGGTTCTGAGTTCTCCCTGAGGAGGCTCTGCAGTCCTCGCACCATCTCCATGCACATGAGGTGGTGTCTGACTTGTTGGCTAGGCCACAGTAACAGACGCCAAAATTGTGGTTAAACGCAGTAGACGGTTCTCTTTCTCTTTGGAGGGGTTGAGGTCAGCAGGGCCACTGTCCATGGCATTGCATTCAGGGACGCAGGCTTCTGCTGTTTTGAGATTCTGTGGTTCCCTGAGGCTTGCCGCCTGCTGCCTGAACCCCTGAAAGGGGCAGGAGCCTGGAGGAGCTACTACCTGCAGGCTTTCAGGGGCCGGCGTGGGAGGGCTCACGTCCCACCGGAAAGAACCTAGTGTCAGGGCCACGCCTCCCTGCAGGGAAGACTGGGACAGGGAGTCCAGTCTGTGCCTAGATCAGAGGAATATGCGTTTTAGCGTTCAGCCAGGGGTCTCTGCCATTCAGGAGAGCAAACGCAGTACGGGTTTTGCCAGATGTGGGTTACATTCTTTTTAAAATTTGCCATTCCCCCTCCAGTTCTCTCCTTTCATTCCCACTTGAACTTGGGCCAAAAGGGATTTCACTGTGGACCAGTCCATCACAGTCAGCAGTGATCTCCATGTCGCTAAGGGCAGTGGGTGGTGCTCAGTCCTCAACTCGCTCGACTCGGTGGTGGCATCTGTCAAGTTTGTCACTTCCTCCTCCGGGAAACATTGTCTTCACTTGGGTTCTTGTCATCTTGCTCCTGGCTTTCCTATTTTCCTGGCTGTTTCTTTCCATCCTCTGCTAGTTTTCCCGTCGCCCCAGCTTCTGCACCTCACCAAAGCCTGCTTTCCCCACAGTCATCCCCATCTCTTTTTAAAATTTATTATTTATTATTTCTTTTTTTTAAGTTACAGTTGATATTTAATATCATATTAATTTCAGGTGTATAACATAGTGGTTAGACATACCTTACAAGTTGATCCCCCCTAATAAGTCTACTGCCCACTTGGCATCATACAGGGTTATTACAATATTATTGACTGGACTGGACTTTACACCCCCGGGACTGGTCTGTAACTACCAATTTGTACTTAATCCCTTCACCGTTTTCACCCCTCCCTCAAAACCCCCTCCCACCTGGCAACCATCGGTTTGTTCTCTGTATCTATGAGTTTGTTTCTGTTTTGTTTGTTCATTTATTTTGTTTTCTTCGATTTGACATAAAAGTGAACTCACATATATTTGTCTTTCTCTGTCTGACCTGACCCATTTCACTGAGCATAACATCCTCTAGGTCAGGGGTCCTCAAACTACGGCCCGCCGGCCACATGCAAATACAAATATTGTATTTGTTCCCGTTTTGTTTTTTTACTTCAAAATAAGATATGTGCAGTGTGCATAGGAATTTGTTCATAGTTTTTTTTAAACTATAGTCCGGCCCTCCAACGGTCTGAGGGACAGTGAACTGGCCCCCTGTTTAAAAAGTTTGAGGACCGCTGCTCTAGGTCCATCAATGTCTTTGCACATAAAAGGTGTTCAGTAAACATGTATTGAACAAGTGAGTGGCTGCTACATGAAAAAGAAGTATCATTTTCATTGGTATGCCTTTGATTCTCAGTGAGGGGTATCATTTCATGTTTATTGGCAATTTGTGTAACTTCTCTTCTGAAGTTCTTATGTTCATTAACCGTTTTGTGTGGGGTTTGGGATTGAGTGCAGTTTGGCTGTGTAGAGCTTGGGGTCCTAGTGGGCAGCCACATGGACTGAAACTGTTTGTCGCCTGAGACTGTGGGTTTGTAAACCACTCCAGGGCCCAGCTACAGTATTTTAAATGCACTGATGAGACGACAAAAAAGTAAATAACGCCGAAACCGGATTGGCTCAGTGGATAGAGCGTCAGCCTGCGGACTGAGAGGTCCTGGGTTCGGTTCCGGTCAGGGGCATGTACCTGGGTTGCGGGCACAGGATATGCAAGAGGCAGCTGATTGATGTTTCTCTCTCATCGATGTTTCTAACTCTCTCTATCTCTCTCCCTTCCTCTCTGTGAAAAATCAATAAAATATATTTAAAAAAAAAGAAAGAAAGAAAGTAAATAACTATCGGAGGTCAAAAATGAAGCAAAAGTCAAATTCCAGAGTAAGCAGTCGGTCGCTGATTTCTGCACGGTGCTTCAGGCCTGTAGGGGTACAGCTTTCCCCCTCAGGTGCATCTCAGTCCTGTCAGCACTTTTTAAAATTAATATTTGTGTTTGTTCCTCAGGCTTATGGTGAGGGCTCTGGTGCTGACTGTAGACGTCACGTCCAAAAATTGAACCTGCTGCAGGGCCAGCTCTCGGAGGCGTCACCCAGGTAGGTCGTCCGAGGGCGTGGCTCGCGGACATCTGTGTGGAGAAACCCCTTAGCTTTCAGGTCTTCCGATGCCGCAGTTAGACTAACACCCTGCACCATCTTCCCACTGAAAGTAATTGTTTGGAGACAGGCGCTTTCAGAATGGCAGGGCCTAGCGTGCTGGTGCGGGCTTAAATGCCAGCTGCCTTTTTTTCTTTAATCCTCACCCAGGGTATGCTTTTATTGGTTTTAGAGAGAGAGGAAGGGAGAGAGAGAGAAACATTAATGTGAGAGAGAAACCGATTGGTTGCCTCACATACACACCCCGACCGGGATCGAACCTGCAACCTGGGTATGTGCCCTGACTATGAATTGAACCCACAACCTTTCGATATGCGGAATGACCCTCCAACCACCTGAGCCACCTAGTAGGGCCCAGTTATAATATTTTAAATGCATTGATGAGAGGACAAGAAAGTAAATAACTATCAGAGGTCAAAAATGAACCCAAAGCCGAGTTCCAGAGAATAAGCCCCTGGCTGCGAGGCGATGGGAGCTCGCTGCCTGGAGCGCCCTTGAGAGGCTGGGCCGTCCGGGAGACAGGCAGCCTGCGGCTCACTCTGGGGGGGTCCGTAGGACACCAGCACATAAAGCTTCGTCCCCCAAACCTGCACCCTCAGGACACAAATGACCAGAAACGCGCCCCTTGCAGCAGAAGCCCGCCCATGTTGGCCTTGACCCAGGCTGAAGAGGGGACGTGTTGCTCCGGGATTTTATAAGCTCAGGGAAGCTGCCACATGTCTTTTCAGCCTTTTCCACGTGTGAAAAGCTTCAAGCTGAGATTTTATTTTCAAACTGTCGCAGGAAGCAGAGGTAAATGCAGCTCCCCTCTGGAGCAACACATTTCAACCCAGGCCTGAAAGAATCCCACAGATAGCGTTCCAAGGAGTATGTACTCACAGTCATTAAACTCAAGGAAGCGTGTCCTATGAGCAAAAAAAAGCAGAGCAACAGACAGACTTCAGAATTCATGATATTGTAAGTTTACTATATTTCATGAAATAAAAGAGAAGGCTGGTAGTAGGAGCAAGAGCCTTTAAGAATAATCGAGTTGTTTTGAAAAGAGAACCAAAAGTAGTTTGTAGAAATGGAAAGTACAGTCATTGAAACTAAAATTGTAGTCAAAAGGTTAAATAGGTTAAGTGCAGCTGAAGACAGAATCGGTGAAATGGAAGATAAACCCGAAGAAATTCTTCAAAAAGATAAAAAGGTGAAAAGTATGAGTTGAGAGGCACAGAGGACACAGAGAAGAGTTATTGCAAGAATAAAAAAACTGGGCAAAGGCAATATTTGCAGAGAAAAGAACCAAGCATTTCCTAGAGTCAAAGGTATTCATTCTTAGATCCAGGAAACACAATAAATCCCAAACTGGACAAAGACATGGTGGATGTAGGAAATGCTAATGGACCTACACACAGCTACTAGAGCTAAGAAGTTAATTTAGCAAAATCACCAGGACACAGCATCAACATACAAAATTTAAGTTTATATAGATGCAGTAAACCATTGGAAAATTATTGTTAAAATCAAATATCATTATAATAGTATCAACAAATGAAATACTTAGGTATAGATAATAAAAAATGTAAGGTTTGTTCAGTAAAAAATATAAAACATTGCTAAGAGAAATTAAAGAGGATCTAAATTAATGAAAGATATCATGTTCATGGATTAGAAAATTCAATATCATTAAGATGACAGTTCATCCTAAATTGATCTTAGAGTCAACCTAATCCCAATCAAAATTCCAGCAGCCTTTTTTTTTTTTGTAGAAATTGACAAACTGATCCTAAAATTTATATATATCTGCAAAGGACCTAGAATTGCTGGAACAGATTTGATAAGAAGAAAGTTGGAATACTTCTGCAACCTGATTTCAGGATTTACTATAACAGGAATCAAGATATTGGTGAAGGGCTAGACATACAGATACATCAGAAGGTGAATGAGCTGAAACCGGTTTGGCTCAGTGGATAGAGTGTCGGCCTGCGGACTGAAAGGTCCCAGGTTCGATTCCGGTCAAGGGCGTGTACCTGGGTTGCGGGCACATCCCCAGTGGGAGATGTGCAGGAGGCAGCTGATCGATGTTTCTAACTCTATCTCTCTCCCTTCCTCTCTGTAAAAAATCAATAAAATATATTAAAAAAAAAAAAGAGAGAGAGAGAAAGAAGGTGAATGAATGAACAGATTGTAGCGTATTCATACAACAGAATTCTGCTTGGCAACAACAACAACGTGACAAATCCCCAAAACACTGGTAAGTGAAAGGAGCCAGACACACAGGACCACGTACTGCAGGGTCAGCCATTTTCTAGGAGGGGATTGCCCGCAGTCCGAAGGGAACTTCTTGGGTGATGAAAATTTTCTTTTTATTTATTTTTTAATATATTTGTATTGATCTCAGAGAGGAAGGGGGGGGGGCAGAGAGGTAGAAACATCAATGATGAGAGAGAACCATTGATTGGCTGCCACCTGCACACCCCACAGTGGGAATCGAGCCTGCAACCCAGGTATGTGCCCTTGGCAGGAATCGAACCCAGGATCCTTCAGTCCACAGGCCAACTCTCAGAGTCTTCTTTTTTTTTTTTTTTCTCAGAGTCTTCTTATCCACTGAGCCAAACTGGCTAGGGCGGGTGATGAAAATTTCCTATGCCTTGTCAGTTCTATCTTAATAAAAAAAATGTTCAATACCTTGATTGGGGTGATATTTCCAAAGGAATAATTTCTCAAAACTTAGTAACTGTATACAGAAATGGGTGCGTTTTAGTGTATATTAATTATACCTTAATAAGGTAATTTTAAAAGTTAAGAAAAAAAATCTGTCCTTAGACACAGCATAATGAGATTGGAGAACACAGAAAACAAAAGGAAGGGCTGAAGAGCAGCTGAAGAGGCACAAGATCACCTGGAAGGAGCACGGGACACCCAAGTCTCAGTGGCAACGTTGGGAGCAGGAGGCAGGCTAGATCTTCAGCCTGCTGAGCACTGGCCTTAGTTGATGAAGTTGCGTTCCAGAATCAGAGAGGTGAGCAGAGTTCTGGCTGGCAGCTGTCAGGAACTGCTCGAGGGAAGGCTGGTGTAGCAGCCACGTGCCCGACCTGGCCTCATCTCACTTCATAATCGCCCTGAGGGCCATTGGCTTCTTCTTACAGATGAACTGTCTGAAGTAGAGGTGCCCACACTTGGTAGAGTTTGGGGTTCTCGAAGTTCCCTGGAGAGTTCCGATTCAGTCGTGCCACAGCCCTGGCTGACCTGGGTGGATGTGGCGCCGGCTCTCCCTCCTGCCCTCGCACAATAGATTCCCCTGGACGTCAGCCCCCCTCGGGGCTCGGAGAAGAACGGCTCCTCGCTCTCCTCTGTGTGAAAGCCTGGTGCCCTGGGACACTTCGAGCTCAGCGCCTTCTCTTTGTAGTGGTTGAGACGCACACAGCGGTAAAGACCTGCGCGCCCTTGTGATGGGCACGTCTCCATTGCTGGGGAGGGACCCTGTGCCACAGGAGTCCCGAGGGCATTGGTCTCCGTGTCCCGGGCCCCAGGCAGGGCATGTGCACACATGTCTCATTTATCTTCACAGTCACCCGAGCAGTAGTACCCACTTCGGATGAGCAAACAGTAATGAACCCAAAGTCGCACCATCATAATGACAGCCAGTCATTGGCAAAGCCAGGACGCGAACTGTGGTCTCTGGGTTAGGCGTCTGCCCCCTCTCTGTCACTTTTCCTGTTGACGGAGGGCCCTACCAGCCTAAATCCGAGGAAGAAACGGTCCTTTTACCAGGCCTTGTGAACTGCTAGGCTAGGAGATTACTGAGTCGCATCAGAACCGCAGAGCTAAGATGCTAACGTTCCCTCCAAGTCTGGTTGATACTCATTGTCCAGTCCTTGCAGCTTCCTGTCCTCCAGCTTCCTGGTCCTTTTACAAGGATGTCTGTGCAATCTTTCCCTAAGGTCTCTGGAAGAACCTGTAAATGCTGACAAGGAAAATGCAGGTCCTGGGCAGGCTGAGCATGTGGGTCCGCAGGTAAGCCAGCAGCACCTGGGGTTCCACTTCTCTATTTGCCCTATAAATGCCTGTTGATGCAACTGAATGGCAGGCACTTGGCTTAAAGCTACAGGGAACACAAAAAGGAATAAACCTGTCCCCTTTGTAAGGGAGACACCGCTCTGTATACAAATAATTGCAACACTCTCTCTGTCTGCTTGGAGAACTGCTCTGTGCTTAGCTTGTACTTCACCCCCTGCGCCTCTCGCCCGTCCCTCGCGCTCGAGGCACACCAGGAGGGGAAAAGACGCTGTGCTAAAGAACCCGAGGTTCCGAGACCCCCCTCTCCAGCCTGAGCCTGGCCGCGGGGCTCACACCCAGTTCTGGCCGGTGCCTGTGAAGTAGGTGCTCCAACGGGGTGAGCTTGAGTGATGGGTAGGGTGACGCCATCATCTAGGTGCCATGGTAGGCGGAGTGCGTGTCCTGCCAAGGTGCCTCTTCGGGGGCGAGGGCTAGTGAGGTAGATTTCAGGTCAAAATAAGGACTTTGTAGCAACAACAAGCCAGGAGCTGAGAAACGCTGCCTGGGCTGTGCTGGGGGTCTTACTGGCCGTGGGGCGGAGCTCAGTAGTCCTGAGGAAGTGATGCCGGATGACAGGTTCCTACCTGCGCGGGCATCAGATCAGGCGACTCAGGGTGATAGGATGGATTCTTTTTTTAAAGCATAATATGTGTTTAAATATTTTTATTGATTTTTAAAGAAAGAGAGAGAGAAACATCAATGGGCTGCCTCCTGCACACCCCCTTGGGAATGGAGCCCGCAACCCTCGAATGTGCCCTGACCGGGAATCAAATCATGACCTCCTGGTTCATAAGTTGACATTCAACCACTGAGCCACACCGGCCCAGGACTGGATTCTTTGTTTTGTTTTGTTAATCCTCACCCAAGGATATTTCTCCATTGATTTTTAGGGAGAGTGGAAGAGAGAGGGAAAGACAGAGAAACACATTGATTGGTTGCCTCCTGCACATGCCCTGACCAGAGTGCAGGCCGGGGAGGAGCCTTGACCGGAGTCGAACCCAGGACCCTTCAATCCGCAGGCCGATGCTCTATCCACTGAGCGACACCGGCCAGGCAGGACTGGATTCTTGATGGCACTTTCCCTGCCAGGAGATGGAGCCAGAGCACTGTCCTCCATGCAGCCCCGATGGCCAGGTCGAGGGGGTCCGAGGTCACCTTAGACCCCAGAAGGCAGTGATGGGGGACGTTTTCTCTCTGGCCAGTGACTGTTTCATCGTCTTGCTTTGTCGACAATGGGAGTGAGACTGTCTCTGTCTGAGCACCGCCTCCCTCTGGCCTGTGCTGCTTCCCTGTCGGGCTCATCCTCAGTGTCACCTCCTGGTCAAGGCATTTTTTAAAATGTATTTTTATTGATTTCAGAGAGGAAGAGAGAGGGATAGAGAGATAGAAACATCAACCATGGGAATCACTGATTGGCTGCCTCCTGCACGCCCCCTACTGAGGACCGAGCCCGCAACCCAGGCATGTACCCTTGACCAGAATCGAACCCAGGACCCTTCAGTCCGCAGGCCGACGCTCTATCCACTGAGCCACACCAGCCAGGGCGTCGAGGGCATTTTGATGCCTGAGAGGCAGCCGAGGTTGACCAGCAGAGGACCGTTCTCGGTTGTGTGTGGAGTGCCTTCAGCAGACTGTCCAGCACGCCCTACCCTGGGCCTGAGGGACTGTTCCACCCTCCTCTTCGTGCACCGAGGCACCCTCGCCCCCAGGATCTGCTCTCGTTCCTGATGCTCCAAACCAGCAGACCCCCTGCACTCAGGGCCCCAGACGCAGGTTTACTTTACGCTGTCCTGAGAGCCACGGGGGCCCAGGCAGAGAAACTGCTGGGCGTCTGGCATGGCCGCCCCAGCAGGGGCCAAGGCTGGCCTGGCCACGTCAGGTCAGGTGGTGGCGTAGAGCACCGGCTCAAAGCCTAGAGGCGCTGGCTGTGTGACCCACTTAAGGATGTGGCCCCGAATCTCCCAGTTACAGACCGCTCTTCGTGACAGTTATTGACGTGGCCGTCCCCGGGCTAATCATGCTAACGGAGTGTTTATCGCTCAACCACGAGCCTGTTCAAACGTGAGGAGCTGGGCTAGCGAAGGCTCAGTGACAGCAAGTCGGGCAGAGCGGGCAGTGCAGCAGGCCCGCGCCTCCTCCCTACCACCTGGGGGGGCGGAGGGTGGCCAGGACCTGTCATTGTGTGGTGGAACCCACTTTTCATGCGTCTGGTCCCTGAGGGAGGGAAGGCCAGGCCCCAGCACCACCGTCTCCCCCAGGAGTGCGCCTCTGAGCAGCCACTTCCACGGCTCAGACCCCTCAGCCCGGTTCTGGGTCCTGGGCCTTCCCGCCTGCCCGGCCAGGAGCAGGCAGGATGGAGTCTGCGTCGCTTTGCACATGGCTCCCTGGTCTCTCCCCACTCGCCCCTCCTCTCAGGCACCCCCTTTCCTGATCCTAAGGTCCCCATGAGACGAGTGCCTGATCGCCTGTCTTCCTTTTTGGGAAGCCTGGTCATGGATTTGGCAGAGGACCTGGAGTGAGGTAACCGGCATTCACTCTGTGCTAGTAACCCTCACAATCAAAGGCTGTCCCTAGGCTGCAGCCTGGTGACCAGCTAGTAGACAGCACAGAGCAGAAGGCCAGAATCCAGGCCCAGGGACCTTGCTCTTCCTGCTCCCTGGTCCTGCCGGACCACTGGCCCTCGCTCTGAAGGCGAACACGGCCCTCTCCTGCTTTTGTCTCCATTGCAGGACCACGCTGGCCCAGCAGGGAAGGTGAGAGAAGGAAGCAGGCGTGAGGACTGGGACGCTGGCCAGCTCACTGGCCCTTGGGGGGAACCACTATGTCCTGCCCAGCGGGTCAGGGCCACGTCTAAGTGGGAACGATTTCTTTTGCCACTTGGAAGCTCACATGTGGACACAGGGCCCCCAACACCCCTGCAGAGGGACCCCAGGCCAGCGGGGGCAGCACAGGCTGAGCAGGGGTCCCCCAGGGCTCAAACTACAAAAGACGGGGGCCTCAGGACACCCAGTCCGCTCCAGCTTCCTTGGGCCACACACACTCCTACATCTGGGCCCAGGAGGCCCTTCGGGGAGACCCCTGAGCAGTGGGGTGCAGGCCCTCAGGCAGAGGGCGGGCACTTGGTCAAAGGGGCACAGGAGCCACGACCTGTGCGACTGTGTGACCTCTTTAACACTGGTGAGGACTTTGATGATGTTCTGTGAGCTGAGACTAGTATGTTATTATGCAGATGTGGTAGGTACCTGAGCCCTCCTCCCCTAGACCTGTGTCCCTGAACAGGGTTCCCTGAGGGCTTTAATTAGGGCTGAGGATTTATGGGAACTAAGAACCGACAATAAACATGACTTTCAAACGGATCATCTCTTATTGCAACATCTTGGATTAAAAGTGCTTACACCATTTAATTGCAGTTGGTTTACAGATATGCTAACAGAATGGCTACAAAGGATCCTCTTACTTTAAAAGCAGGCGACACATTTGGAAATGAGAGAACTAGAATGTTGTGAAACGGGCAGTGCTCAGTGACCACCGGGGGTGCCTGCAGCCACTCCTGTGCCCGCGAGAGGCCTGCCGACTGCCTGCCCTCCCATTCTGGCTGCAGGACAACCACCTTCTGACGCGATGCTAGCTGTTGCAGGTTCTAGCAGAAAATCAGCTACACATCAGTTACTATTAGTCATTTAAAAAAAGAAAAAGACGACCATGAGGCAAGATGGATTCTGGGCTGTTGGTGATACCCTGGTGGGCAGAGGGCAGGGAGATGAGGGGCCCGCCCTGGCTGCACGAAGTGGGCACCGAGGGAAACTGGGAAGCCCCCTTAGTCATCGTCGAAACGCTGGGAACGCCCTCCTGTCCTTGTCCTGCTGCCCTAAACGGCTTCATGCATCCCACCCGGTTCTGAAAGAAAGATGCAGAGTAACTGGCCCTTAGAGGCGTGGGGTTCTAATAAGCTCAACACAACTGTGAGACAAGAAGGGGGTCAGATAGCAGGTGAGCACAGCTGTCACAAGGGCGGTGGATGCTTTGAGTACTGGATGGTGTCCAGGGCAGCCCCAATGTCGTAATTCTTGGTCTGTAGGAGCCTGGTGAGCCAGCCGCCTTCATCAGAGAACCCCATGGACAGCATCTGGGAGAGGGACTCAATGAGCCGGGGGTCAGCTTCTGCCAGAGAGAATAATAAAAGCCATGAGGGGGAGTTGCTGGGCCCCAAGTGTGACCCGCAGGCAGCAGCAGCTCCTCCATCCAGCAAGCCCCTGTGCCTGCAGGGCCTGGCCTCCCAGGCTCTCCTGCCCTCAGGCACACTCCAGGCCAGGGATGGGCAAGCTTTTCAGCTGCTTTGCAGGCTATTGGTCTGTCACAACCACACCATTCTGCCATTACATCATAAATGCCATTACATAAAAGCCAGACACCATCTAAGCAAGTGAGTGCTGTGTTCACATAAACTTGTTATTTATGGGCACCGAAATAGGAATTTCATCTGATTTTCACAGGTCTTGATTTTTTAATGAGGGAGGGAAATAGACTAAAAGTGAGGTCTCCTCATTTTTTTTTAAATAGAGTTCTAGACAGGAAAGGAGAGGAAGAAACATCGATTAGCTGCCTCCTGCATGCCTCCCACCTGGGATTTGACCGCAACCCAACCATGTGCCCTGACCAGAAGTGAACTGGCAACCTTTTGGTGCATGGAATGACACCCAACCAACTGAGACACACTGACCAGGGCCACAGGTCTTTTTTTAATTGATTTCAGAGAGGAAGGGAGAGGGGAGAGAGATAGAAACATCAATGATGAGAGAGAATCATTGACTGGCTGCCTCCTGCACACCCCACACTGGGGATTGAGCCTGCAACCTGGGCATGTGCCCTTCACTGGAATCGGACCCGGGATCTCAGTCCACAGGCCGTTGCTCTATCCACTGAGCAAAACCAGCCAGGGCGAGGGCCACAGGTGTGACCTTCTTAGACAACTGTTATAAAGGTGAGAAAATTGCCCTGGCCGGTGGCTCCGTTGATTGGAGCGCCATCCCATACATCAAAAAGGCTGCAGGTTTGAGTCCTGGTCAGGGCACATACAGACCTAGCTCGCAGGTTTGAGCCCCGGGCTGGATGTGTACCGGAGGCAGCTGATGTTCTCTCCCCCCACCCCACTTCCTCTCCAAAAAATCACAAAAACAGGTGAGAACTTTCAAAAAATCATTCTTGGCCCATAGGCTGTAGTTTGTCTCCCTTGCTCTAGGCAGAGAAGGTAGACACCGGGGCCCAAGGGCCACAGCTGGCCCCAGGGGTTTTCTCTTAAGTATCCTCTCAACAACACTGCATGTGACAGTGATGAACAAGCAGACATCGGCTGCCCTACTCCACGTGTGCTCTCCGGCTAGCATGCCCCCCCCTTCTCCGCCCCCCCCCCCCCCCCCCCCGCGGCTCCCCGCCTGCTCCCACAGGAGCCTTGGCTGGGCCCTGTTAGGCCGAACTCTCCATGAGGAAGCGGAGCCCGGAGCCAGGACCAGGACCGCTGCTACAGAATCTCGGGTCCAGATGTTACGTTTCAGAAGCTACTAAAATCAGCTGCGCTTACGAGGGGCTCAGTATAGACAGAGGACAAAACCAACTAATTTCCTCTCGTGTCAACAGACAAGCCCACAGCAGAGAACAGGATGTCTTTGTGTGGCTGACAGCGGATCGGATCTCTGAATAAAAAGGCAGAACACAGTCACTTGCCTGGCGGCAGGTGTGGGTACACCGCAGCTTCCTTCAGCCCCGTGGGTCCCTCCTGGGAAGGGTCCAGAGAGCTTGGCCCTTCGGACTCGGGCATCTGTAGAGACTGGAGTTCGCCTGTCGACGGGTCCACTTCCTTTGAAGATAAATGAGTCCAGTCATCGTCTCCTCCCGAGCAGTTGTCAGACTCCATCTGCTCCTGGAACGAAACCCCATGAGCACAGGCCCTCGCAGCCGCCCGGCCACAGCCTCAGCCCCTGGGGGGTGCGTGGAGCAGACAGACTGGCAAGCAGCTAGAGGACTGTTTTTCTTTACCAAGTTCTAGTGAAGGGGCCAGAGAACGACTGAGGTGCCACACACCTAACTGCACCGGAACTGGGTCCTGGCTGTGTCAGTGCCAGGAGGGGATGGGGGGGGGGGGGGGGCTTGCCTCGGGCTGCACACCGGACTGCAGTGTGATCTTGTTCATTTGCTTCGCCAGAGCCTGTGCAGCTCCTTCCATGGCCCCGTCCGGTTTGCTGGAGTCAGAAGAGCAGCTTCCTGGCTGCGAGCTGCACCTCTCCTCCGCGCTGGAGCTGCCTGGGGAGACGGGGGTCAGGCGGCTTCTTTTCCCTCCATGTTCCACGTCAATATCCACCTCGATGCCTAGAGGCCAAGGAGACAAAAACCCTAAGTCCTCAGAGGGCGAACCTGCCGCTTACAAAGCGTTCTCACATTCAGCCCCGAAGCGGGAGGGCCGGGATGCTGGCATCCACTCCAGACCCGGCCACATGCCAACACAGGACCAGCTCAGGTGGCAGCCACCAGCAAGAAGGCAAGTGGATGGTCATTGTGATCTTCACGATTCCAAGGGCTGAACTCCCCAAATCCTGGCCCAAATCTTCCTGGCTTCTAGAAACTCACTGCACCTCTCTTCCTCCAGCATAAAAAACATCAATTGACACCCCAGGTCAGTTTCAGAGCCAGTAAGTCCAGAATGAGTCCCTGTTTCCCCCGCACCAGGCAGGACAGACCTGCACAGAGAGGGCCAGGACCTAGGAACCGGGGACCATGTGTGGCCAGAGCACCCCTCTGGTGCTGAGCACTGGAGCTCCGTGCTGTTTGAGGGGCCGAGTGAGGTGAAAACCACGTGCACTCAGCACTGGCATTCTGCTTGGGCAGGTGCACAGCTCTGCAGGTTGGTGAGCTGGTGTGGCACCTGTGCTCATTCTTTCAGACACTTCCTGCCACTGCAGTCACCAAGATGAGGGCTCACCTCGTCTGAGGGCATGGGTCTGTGGTCATCTTGAACCAGAAGTCACCTTTAACTGATTCTGACGGCAGGAGGCCTAGCCCTGAGCACCCACCTCGACTAGCAGACGGATGCAGTGGGTGCTTTCAGAAGCCTCAGAGGCCACACCTGTCACACCCCTGGGGTCCATGCGGCAGTTCACTAACCCAGAGACCTGCTCTGAACCTGGCGTCACTCAGAGCCCCTTCCTCTTCCTCCCTGCTCCCAGCACCGGCATCAGCCTGCACTCGGGAAGCACCAGGAAAGCTCGGGGGTTGCAAAGACGAGGGAGAAAAAGAGAAAAGGCATCTCAACTGACTACTCGCCCCAAGCCCTTGCGGAAATCCCAGGCTCATGAGGAGGAAATGCAGGCTGTTCTCCCCCAAGGACAAGGCAGGCTGAGCTGGACAGCCTCCCTCCTGGGACTATTCTAAGACCTGGCTGACTCTCCTGCACTCGGGGCAGCTCAAGAACCTGTCGGGGACTCCAACCTCGAGTGGCCTGTGGTGCAGCGCTTGGCAAAGGTTGACTTGAGGCCACCAAGCCTTACTAGTCTCAAGGGTGTTCCATTCCTCTGCAGTATCTCAGCTGAAAGCTGCAAACAGCCACGCCCACACTGAGCTGCCATAGGCCCTGCTGGTATCAAAGGTCAGACACACTTACCCAGGGGGCTGAGGGCGGCTGCCACACTCTCCCCTACGTTCTTGAGGAAATTCACACTGGGATCCTCCGATGGACCAGAAGCTTTGATTTTTAAAATATAAAAACAACAATATGTTTAATTAATACATTTCTCAATGACCTTGATACCTATTGCAGTGCTGTCACCTTTTTCCTGCACGCTCTCCATCCCGGGGGCCTTTCCTGGCAGCCTGCAACCCTTGTTCCCTCCCACCCCTGGCCACCTCCCCGGCCCCTTCACCCCCCTTCATCTGTGACCCTGGTGATCGGAACCCCGAGAGGGGCTCAATACACACATTATAAAATGCCAATCACATCCCAGATATGTTATTTTCTCAAAATCAAGTATCTCCACCCTTGTCCCAAAGGATGAGGTGAATCAAAGGACACAGTAATAAAACCAGAATCCAAAAATCTAGAATGCAAGCTCTGTGCAGTTTCTAACTTTGTGACTGTTATGAAGACTTGACCTAATTTGGCTCTGACCTTCCTGACAGCTAAGAGAACAGAACACATTACCGAGATGAAGGTGTAGAGGGTGCTGAGCGGGCTGGGCCCAGGTGGGTTTAAGGCAGGGGAACTAGTGGCCGTGGGCACTCAGGCCCGTTTTCCCATTTGTAAAGGGAAAGTGCTCCACCCTCTGCAGGGTTTGGTGAGGATGAAATAACCTCAGTGGCTGTGAGTGTC